ATTTATGACCGCCTGTGTGCCAGGCACTGGGCCAAGCATGGAAAAACTTTGATGTCTAAGACAGGCCTGGTCTCAGCCCTCACAGACCTAACAATTGAACGGCAGAGAGGAGTGGGAGGGGACTGGGGAGGTGGAGGAGATGGAATTCTCAGGGCTTGATGACACCTCGTCCACAAGGGCTTCCTGCTTGAACTCAAAACAGGATTCAGGAAGGGGGTCTGCTGATGTGTCTTTAACTGTACAAGGAAACGTGGACATTGTTAGAACTGTGTATTAATTTGCAGCCCGAATTATCGTCTGCAGACATGTCCCATAAAAGTGATGCTACAGGCGGTGAACTTTTGTTACTTACTGAGTGCTTTATGCTCCCTGTGAAATAGGTACTGGTTTTATCCCTGTTTATAGATGAGCAAACTGAGGCCCACACAGATTTGGTCGTGAGCTCCAGGCTATTGCTGGTTAACTGTTCAGGCCTAAGGCTGGGAGAGAGTGGGCTGGGCCTGTCCACACCTGTGGCCCTAGGTCATACCTGCAGGGGTACTAAGCCTGGCTCTCAGTCTCCATATCTACAGGGACACTGGAGCTTAGAGTGCATTGCTGCTTGAATCACTGGTGAATTTGAAAAGGTTTCATGTTTCTAAGAGTGTGGAAAAACTAACATGACAGAGAATTTGGTGGGGGGGGGAGGGCTTAATATTTTAAGTTTAATACAGAAAAGTATCTTTAGAAATTAGGAATAAATAAAATAACCTTGGGAGTCTGATAGTGCTTAGAGATCCAAGAATGTACTTACATAATTCTCAGGCAGCTTGAAATTTTTATGCAGGACTAATCATATCAAATCTCTTTTTGTGTTTTTTTTCCCCTAATTTATGAACTACTTCCTTTCAGAAACAAATGGAAAGGTTTAAAGACAGAGGACTTTTTTGGGATGTAGCCTGTGGCAAAGTCAAAAACCAAAACTTAGCAGACCTGCTCAGAGTGGAGTGGAAGCTTCTCTTTCCCAGTGACATTTTTCTGTATCTATAGTGAGAAAAACCCAGACACTGAAGGAGAGAGAAGGTTTGTAGGGAGCTGTGCTGCAGCATCTGGGTGGTCTGGATGGCAGTTCCTGTCTAAGTGATACCCAAAACTCAGGGTGGCCGGAGCCCTGTAGACATTGTGTTATTTTTTGCATGCTTGTCACACAGTGTAGCTCACAAGCGAGGCTCAGAAGGAAGTAGCAACTTAACTGATAAAAGAGCAGTTACAACAGGACTCCAGCATCTCTGCTTTGGTGTTTGGGGGATGTTTTTTGAATGCAAACCCTGCCTTTCTGCTGCAGTCCACCTGATCATCGAGAAGTCTGTGGATGACTGATGGACTGTGGGCGGGTAGTGGAGATGGCACGGGTACAGAGGAGCGTCCCCATCCTGGCTGGGTGGAGCAGGATGGCAAGAGATAGTAACATGCTACTCGGAGTGGCACTCAGTCTAAAGCTTAGGGACTGTTTATTCCTGGTGTTTTTAATTTAAGACTTTTGGAACACATTTGACCTTGGAAAGTGAAACTGCAGCAAAGGGGGGCTGTATTGTTGAGGATGAGGCTTGTAGTTCTCAAATGTAGTCAGAGCATTTGCAGGCACTGCATATCGTAGAAGAGACTGACACATTTTCCAGTTCTCTAGAAGCCCAGTCAGAAAAACAGTAATGAATTTCAAGGCGTCACATATTAAATATAGAAGAAGCCGGGACCCCTTTGAGCTCCTTCTAGCTGTGGGCAGACTTGAGGAAATACGAGGGAAGAGAAGCGGGCTGCCTGAGAGGCTGGCCACAGATACACCATCCTCAGCACCTGGGTGTCCTGCCTCCTGCTCACTGGGGTGCAGAGGGGTCCCAGGAAACAAAGCGTGCCTCTGGTCACACCAGAAAGTGGTGAGGGCAGAGCTGGACTGAGTGTTTTAAATGGCTGATAAGTTAAGCTTTCTTTACCCTTTGTTGAAATTGGTAAAATAGTTGTAAAATTGATAAAAAGCTTTCACACTGATCGGTGATTTCTAGCTTTTAATATAATTGAAGTATTTAAGGGTTAAGTGGAAATAGCCCCTCATAAAGTCACTTTTACCCTTCTTGTCCTCCTTCCTGACACTTCCTGCATCTGTCTGTCTGTCAGCTCATCCACGTGGTGGCCGACAGAGCTCTGCAGTGTGCTGGCTGCACTCAGGCGGGAGGCTGGCACACAGATTGCACACTCCCAGCCTCTGTTACTTACTCATCATACTGTTGTTATTTTTTTCTTTAATGAAAAATATGATATTGTAAACAAATAGACTTGTTAAAAATTAGAGGGCAATAAATTACTATGGTAGAAAATGATGTTTAGAGGTAGGTGAATGAGAGCAGGGGGAGTGGGAGGGGGTACAGTGAAGATGCCCAGGACACTGGAGGCCGAGGGGACAGTTGGCAGTGCTTTGGGGACCAGAAGATGCCAGGCAAGGTCATCCTGGGTGGAGGCAAAAGGAGCTACCAGGGACAGGTGAAGAACTGCAAAGTGACACTGACAGGCCAAGCTCGTAGCAATTCCGATTCATGAGACTTAGACGCCCCAGCCCTCACTCAGTAGTGTGCTGTAAGGGTGGGGACGGGCCCTGGGGCCATCTGTGGCCTGTATCAGTGAGTCTCCTGGAGCAGAAACGAGACAAAGAAAAGCTCCTGCACTAAACGTTCCAAGGCAAGCCACTGTTTGATGTTGCACTTTGGTTGAGGCAGAAACACAAAAGTGAACATTTTCTACGGAATATGGAAGTTTGTATAAAATGTGACATGTCTAGAATTCACTTTTCTAAATTGGGGATAGACTATCATTTTCATGTCTGAGTTAAGGAAAAATTTGTTTTTTAAAGTCTTCCAATTTAATAATTTTGATAATTTAGGTTGAAACTTTCTCCACTTTATTTTCACTATGTCATGAATAAAATTAACGCTTGTGGGAGCTTTAACTTTTTTGTGTGTGTACTGAAATCTTTGAGGCTGAGTGAACATACTATGATTTAAAGATATTAAATTGGTGGTGTGACCTTGGACTTCCTGTGCTGATGAGGTGCAGGAGTCCTGTGGGGACAGTGGGTGGCAGAAGACCCTGCTGTCACACCCTGGTCCTTACTCTGAAGGGGGCACTTGGAAGCTGTGTACTCGCCCAGCTTGTGTTGACTCCTCCAGGGCTGCTGTGCCAGTCTGGGCATTGCTGCGGTTGTGCTGGGGAGTATGCAGAAGCATTGTCTCAGGCACAGAGGGCTGCGGCACTGTCCGTGGGTAGAAAATTCTGTGAGTGTGTGTAGTGTGTTTTCTCTGTATAAATATGTTCCTCAATTTTGAACATTAGTCTGGTTTTATCTTAATTGACCACTTTATTTAGAGAGTGAGAAGTGATGCTTCCCAATGTCAGATGTTGGTGCAGTGAGGATTCTGTGATTCTGCCTAAAGTAAAAAACACTACAAGAATTTAAGCTTTGGGACTTGCTGTTATACATGTTTAAATAAGAACCCAATATTTGTCTTTTTATAAAGACGTAATGTGTGTGTGTGTGTGTGTGTGCGTGTGTGTTTCCTAACCACTAGACAACCAGGAATAATACTTGTGCTTTAAATATAATTTTTTTACTGTATGGCCAGTAGTCTTCAGGATTTGTGGCATTCATCTTGCATTGGTCTTGGGATGCCGTGAGTAGAGCAGGCTTCTAAAGAAAAGAAAAGTAGAGTTTAAAAAGCATTTTTATTGTTATAAAATGTCGCATTTAGAGGAATAGCTAATTATATTAGTAATAAAATGACAGATAAGGCATTGGAATTTTAAGTTTATGAGAAAGAATTGTGACTTTTAAAGTTGAGAAATACTGGCTTAGTTCCAAAGAATGAGGTGCTTCGAAATGAAAATTAATTTGATGATAGTTAATAGTAAATTTTGTTTTAGGAACAGTGAAAGTATTTCTTTAAATGCTGCTGCTTATGTAAGTATGGTAATTTAAAAATATATCTAAGAATACTTGAAAGGCAAATTGAAAATGAAATAATTTTAGTTTTTATAGAGATTTGTTAATAACATGTAGTTTTTGAAAAATGCTAATTTTATTTTGTATTCAAAGGAATCCAATTGTAATTTTTTTTGTAGTAATTTAGTTTCTGAAACATTGCACATTTTTTAATGTCAGATTGCTGATTTTTTATTATGGTACAAATTGAAATTCTTTCCCTTTTTTTGAAATAAAGCAGCTTCATAGCTGTAGCTTATGGTTGTGTTAAATAGATAGCGAAGAATAGCATCTTTGAGAAGATAAATGTCACAACCATTCTAAGTAGACATTTAGTCTTTTGGATTAACGGAAAAGAAGGTCAATAATTGCAAGGATTTCCATAAGCTTAAAAATAATATTCTAGTGGTGCTGTAGTAATATTAGAACACCGAATTAATCTCTGGATGCTGTATTTTAGTTCATTGTGGCAGAATCCTGTTTTATGGCATTACAAGTTTTCATATTTCTCTATATTCAGTTGTGTACCACATAAGGGAGTATGGTCAGCGGTGGGTAGCGTACACATACAACAGTGGTCCTGTGAGATCATCATACCACGCTTTCACTGTACCCTTTATGTGTTTCCATGTGTTCACATGCACAGATACTTAACCCTGTGTTACACTTGCCAGGGTAGGATTATTCTGTCTAGCCATGCACTATGCTTGTTTGTAGTATGGGAGCAATAGTCTGTGCATGTAGCCCAGGTCTGCACAGTGGGTCACTCCTTCTGGGGTTGAGTGTGGCCTGAGTGTTTGCACGAAAAAGTCACTTAATGATCCATTTGTTGGACTATGTCCCTGTCATTATGTGACAGTAGCGGTAAGGAGAGAGAATGACTGTAGAAGATAAATTACTTGACATTTCAGAGGAAAACTTGGACCAAGGTATACATTTCTGAAAATAACAGATTTTTTGCTGTCTTCCACCCCATTTTTCTGTCTTTCTTTAGGGCCCCCCAGAATTTCCACAGCACACACCAGGACCTGTTCCCAACAGCTTTAGCCAACCCCCCCGACTTCCTCTCCAGGACCAGTGGAGAGCCCCACCCCCACCTCAGGAGCGAGACCCCTTCTTCCTAGGAGGTAGGTGGTGGGGAGTCCGCAGCAGACACGGTCAGGTGATGTGCCTAAAGGCCTTTGTTTCTTGAACTGGAGCTAACTCCCCATTGGAGATTGTGTTTTAAGAAAATCATGTTGTATACCATAGCAGCTCTGTCATTTCAGGTGCTGAAGTTGGGCATTGTTGGTATATGGAATGTGAAAATTTCATACAGCAGAGAAATAATTTACAGAAGGTGACAAATGAAGCAGTCTATGAATAAGAGCCCTGTGTAGGGTCTCCTGCTCCCACTTGTAGCATTGTCCTCAGTGAGAGGTGACAGCAGACTGCTTTTCTAAGAAGCTCTTTCTAACCTGGAAGGTAATGTTGTGCCACTCTTCAGTTTCAGGCGAGCCAAGGTTCCCGAGTCACCTTTTTTTGGAACAGCGAAGTCCCCCTCCTCCGCCACCTCCTCCCACACTTCTTAACAGCAGCCATCCTGTCCCTACTCCGAGTCCCTTACCATTTACTCAGCCGGGACCAGCATTCAGTCAGCAAGGGCAGCAGCCAGTGTTCCCAAGAGAGAGGCCTGTGAGACCAGCCCTGCAGCCCCCAGGTCCAGTGGGGATTCTGCACTTTAGCCAGCCAGGGTCAGCACCCACACGGCCTTTCATCCCTCCCAGACAGCCCTTCTTGCCTGGTCCGGGACAGCCATTTCTGCCCACGCACGCGCAGCCCAACCTGCAGGTATGTATCCCACGAACCTTGAGGGGAATGTCTGTGCACACCTGAGTCTCAGTGTTTTATTCTAGTCTACTAACATGTGCTTATTTAAAAGGTAAGGTTTTTAGTCTTAAGTGTTCTGTTTATTAAAGACAACTTGTTTTGACAGTACTGTTTTATCTCCTTAATACTGGGAGAAATGGGAAAGAAAAGTAATTGTCATTTTGGGGGTGAATTAAAAGGATGTCACTATTAGGATTTTCTTTTAAGATGTACTGCTAATAAAATTAAGGCATGTTTTGATAATACATTTGCTCATCTTTGCAAGATTTCTTGAAAGGTTTATCAGTGAAAATAAAATACTTGGTCAGATTATGTCCCTGTGACACACCGTGGTATGTGGAGGGGGATATTGCTCTCAACCACTATTTCAGAGACTCGAGTGCCCTCTGCTGATGGTCTGTGCTTTGTGGGTTGACTTTGAGTAAACATCCTTAACATCTCTCTTACCCAGAATATTTCTTATATTTTTAGGTTTACTATTAAAATAACATAGCAATGGTATTCTTGAGTCAGACTATTTAGAAACACGTAGAATGTGTGTCTAAATTGAAAATGGAAAATGTTTATCATTTAAGGTGTTAACGAAAGATAAAAATGTTAAAATTTTTCTTTTTATAAACATGTACTGCAGAAATATTAAGTATAAGAAAAGGAAGTTAAGTAACTTATTTAGAAACATCAGTAACATTTTGGTACATCGTTTTTCAGCCTGTTTGAAGTACACATACCATGCTTTTCCCCTGTTAACGTATCTTTATGATCTTTTTGTGTCGGTGACTCGGCTTTACGACAGCATGTCAGAACACTGCACAGGGTTACACCTCATGGTATTGCTGTTTGCACATTAGTGTATTTTGGTTTCAGTCCTTTGGTATCACAGCACTTTAGGGAACATACTTGAGGTTATAAATTTATTTGCATACTTAGTTATTCCCTTAGAATAACTTCTTAGAATTACTAGAAGATAGACTAGAAGATAGTCATGAACACATCTACGGTGAATTTGGATACCACTTAAAGTTTCTTTCTTATGTTGAGGTTTTGCAGGAAATGTGCTTGATGTGGAATATACTTGGTGTGTGTATTCTATTGACAAACCCTTCTCTTTCCTTTGCCACGGAAGGGGCCCTTGCATCCCCCGCTGCCTCCTCCGCCCCAGCCCCAGCAGCAGCCGGCTCAGCAGCAGCCCCCCCACCACCAGCACCAGCCCCCGCACCAGCCCCCACCCCAGCACCAGCCTCCCCCACAGCACCAGCCACAGCAGCACCACCACCTTTCCGTGCCACCCCCGCCTCTGATGCCCATGGCCCAGCCGCAGTTCAGGCCTCACGTACAGACCGCTCAACCCCAGCCAAACAGCAGTCGGGTGCAGTGCCCCCAGCGCCAGGGCCTGAGGCATGTACGTATCCAGTGTCTGTGTCCTGTTTTACCTTACAGAAATTTAGAGGTGTAATTTGTGAGTTAGAATATTTTCCAGGTCCAATTTAAATTTATAAAGTACTTAGTAATACAGTTTCTGAAGTGAATTTGTATTTTAAAACAGTTCAGAAATTTTCTTGACTACAGAAATTCACTTACCCCCTTTGTGTTAATATCTAGATATTTCTATAGTGATAGATGTTATTAACTAATAGACACATAACCTTAGAAAATACTTTTGTGTAGTAGTCACTCTATCTTTGCCAGTGGCTTACTTTTTGATGCCTAGATTGTCTCTCTGGGCTCTGAGTAAATAAGCAGTGAATCCAGGAATGTATCAGTTATCCTGCTGTCAAGCACTACCCTCATTCCTGGAAATACAGCAGGAAGCAGAAGAGACAAATTCCTTCCCTTCAGGGAGCTCATATTCAATTGAGTGAGATTAGCATGCATTTATTTGTGGGGCCACATTCTCAAGTGCCATCAGCAGGTGTATGGCTTGCATCAGAAGAGACGGGAAGTAATGTGCGGCTCTCTCTGAGATAGAAGGCAGCGGGCACTGCCTGTGCTCTGCTCAGTAGCCACAGATGAGGCTTTTGCAATTTAGTTTTTGAGGAGGAGGTACAGTGTGGTTTACGGGTCAGGTTCTAGTCTGTAAGATTCTCTTTTGGGACTGCCCCCGTTAATGCTCAAGCTTTAAGCATGTCACTTAGGTATTTGAATCTTAATTTTCCTGATGCTTGCCTCTTTTAGTCGTAAAGTAACGTGACTAAAATGATATAAACAATATGAAAGGATTTCCGGATCTGAGAAGGCACTTTATCAGCTGGGTTTTATTAGTGAGAACCATGACCCACTGTGTTCATGTGCCTTATGCCAGCACACATTTGTCTTGTGCCACCTGGGGCGTGCCCCTGCCCCACCAAGTTCTCTTCTGCGCTGTGACCCCTGCAAGTGGTGCTTCTCTCTAAGAATCCCTGGGATGAACATGACCAAGACACTCCTCTTGGATAAACCTGCCTGGCACCTTTCTTTTTCGGGGAATCATTTTTTTAGGATTTAATGCTTGACTCTGGTGCCACCTTAATTTAAGTGACTATGTAAAATAGTAGCACCATTAATCCCTCTGCTGTGTGGCAGGTAGAGTGCTTTTTTTTGTCCTACCAATAGTTCCCATCCTGAAGCGCCAGTGGAAGATCACCTGGTATAATTTCTACAGAGAGGGGCCCACCTGCAGGCAAGTGTAATACTAATAATACCTTCCCAGATCGGTCTCCTTAGTGGTGAACATACAGCTGCATATGCCAGGGAGCATTGATGCTAATAACGTGCCCTTTAATGTTTCTTCTGCCCAGTTTCTAATTATGATTAGAATTTTTCTTGTTTTGATAGAATACAACTTCTCAGAATGTATCCAAGCGGCCCATGCAGCAAATGCAGCCAACTGCTCCAAGAAACAGTAATTTGCGTGAGTTACCCATAGCACCATCACACGTCATGGAGATGAGTGGCAGTCGCTGCTCCTCCACACCCTCGGCTCAAGTGAAACCTATCGTTAGCACATCACCACCCTCGAGGGCTGTGCTGGCTTCCCGGAGCTCACAGGGAAAGACTGAAGCAAAAGTCAAGCCAGTTAGCCCTGTGGCTCAAACCAAAGAAGAAGCAAAGGTGGAACCAGAGGTAAGGCCTTTCCGTGATTAAAAGATACCTGGTCTTGCCCACGAGGCCTGACAATCAACCTCCTAGGTCCCTCATTTTACTAAGTTATTCACAAAATCTTCCCACTTCTTTTTAGCCCGTTCTTTTATAGCCATGTTTATAGATGAAACACTTGAATTGTAACAGTTTACAACATCAGAGTTTACATGTTTGTACAGTTATGGTTGTATTATATAGAATCATTATATACCAGGGTCCAGCAAACTTTTTCTGTGAACGGCCTACATATTTTGTAGTCTAAATGTCTGCCATAAATAGGCAATTCTGCTAGTTTAGCATAAAGGCAATTTATGTACAATTGTTAACACATTGCTGAGTGGTCACAAGTTACCTGGTGACATGGGCAGGCAGTATCTGTGTACATTTGCCAGTCAGCGATGTGTTAACATAGTAGCTGTTCCCTGATTGTTCTCTCCCAGTCTCAATTTATAGTTGTCCCAAATTCAGCTTATTTTATTCTTTCACCCACCTTATCTCCCAGCTGCTTATAATATAAAATCACTTAGCGCTTCTGTCATCTTTATGTGGATGACTAAGACTGTGCCCCAGTGAAGCTGTTGTGAAGAAGTCAGTGTCAGACCAGATTTGGCCCGTGGGCTGTATCTGCTGGGCTTAATATGCGCTGTCTGGTTTCTGTGACTTTCTCTTACGGTGCACTGTCAAATCCTAAAGAGTGGACCAGTTTTTCTTTTGGTCTTTAAGATTTGGGTAGGAAGGGTGGTTTTGAATTCTGTATGTTGTTGCTGGTTTTAGGTAAGTACAGAATGTGGCTAGTGTAAACAGTGAATTTCCGTATTTCATGTGGCTTTCTGTGGTGGCCTTTGGTAAGGAACCAGCCTTGGTTTCCTTCTCTAGTGAGACCTGTGACAGGGCAGTGTCTGTGTTTGGATGTGGCAGGACTAGAATTGCCTTACTGATATGGTGACAGTTCATGAGGACTTCAGAGGGAAGAGTTTAGGCTAGTCATGCTTTCTTAATTTTATAAAACAAGTTAAAAATATTTTTTCAGTCAAATTTTGTGTAATAAATTATTATAGCAGTTACGATATAATGTGTACCAAATCAGAAATGTAAACAAGGTTAAAATACTGAGTTAGCATTTAATTAAACTCTTAGTAGAAGAAGAGTGTTTTTTAGGGTTTAAAATACATATATGAAAAAATAATGTAGATTTACAAACTGGATTGGCATAGTTTATAAAAAATTTTGTCATGCTTTTCATTCATGTCTCTAGCTTCTGAGTGATTTGCTTAAGAAAAATTAAGTCATGTACACATCACTTAGTATAGTAACAGTGGCCTTTAAGGCATACGCTAGCCACATCTGACAGCCAGTTCCTTTTATAATAGTTGGTGTAGGTGGATTTATAAAGAATTCTTTCATAGAGTTATTTTAAATAGATACTTTATAAGTGAAATGGAATTTGCAAGTCACTGTAGTATAAGTTGAATGTCTTAATTGGTTTTCTTTTAATTTTCTGTGTACATAAATGAGACCGGGATTATATATTTTTTTATATTCTCACTTTGTTGCCCTTGGTAGAGTGCTGTGGTGTCACAGCTCACAGCAACCTCAAACTCTTGGGCTCAAGTGATCCTCCTGCTTCAGCTTCCTGAGTAGCTGGGACTACAGGTGCCCACCCCCAGTGCCTGGCTAGTTTTAGAGATAGGGTCTCACTCTGGCTCAGCTGGTCTCAAACTCCTGAGCTCAAGCGATCCACCTGTCTCAGCCTCCCAGAGTGCTGGATTACAGATGGTTTCCCTTTGCCAAATATGGCTTATTTTCTTATCCTCACACAAAATAATGATGACATGGCAGAGTGAATCTGTCAGACAGAAATCTTCAAGTATTCCATCTACGTTCTGGACACATTTTAACTCATGATTGGGAAGTAATCCTGATGGCTTGCAATGATCCTGCATGTGGAGCAGTGCCCCCTTGGGTCCTGGTGACACGTGTACAGCCCCCACACTCCATGTTACTTCTCGCTGTGTTTGCCTGGCTATGTAACAGCCGGCACTTTGCCACCCTCACATTTGTGGTCTGAAGTCTGCCCTAGACTTGGAGTTAGATGACGAGTGTGCTGGCACAGCTTTCCCATGATGAGCCAACCTTGTGTAAGGCCGGCCCAGGGGCCCAAGCTCCACAAGCACCAGCTGCCTTCTCAGTCATGTTTTTGTCTTAAGTTCCTAATTCTGAAGATTTATTCAGGGTAGAGAACATCATTGAACAGCTGGATTTCAGATAGTTTAAATCCTTGCTACATTCTTTTATTAAAGGTTTGTGGATATGGATGATTTTAAAGAACATTATTACAATTTTTTAAAAATGCGTAACTTTTTATAAACTTTCCTTTTTGGATGCTTTTCATGAAAGTTACTAGAGTTTTTCAAAGGTTCCTTTTTTTTTCCTAATAGACTTTAAGAATGTTTGGGGCTGGAATATTAAAGGCATTCCTTATATACCATTAATATTCCAATACTGCAATTGGCAACATTTTGATTCTGAGGAGAGTGCATGAGTTCAAGGTCAGAGAGATTGACTTGTGCTGTTCATTATAACCAATTATTCTGTGACAAATGAGTTTGAGATCAAGCTGAAAATTCTGTACAAAAAATCAATAGTTCTAATCAGGGCCTTTCAGGTCATTTATACCCCACCTTTTGTTGGTTTGTCAGGGAAGAGCCAGATAAAACCTGTGTGACAGCAGGCCTCCTACTGCTGCCATTTCTGTTAGAAACATATTTTGATATCTTAAATGAAGAGTTTAATTGGTTTCAAACTTGTAAATGAATAGAAATTTATATTATTTCATTTTTAATATTCTGATAAGATTTTCCAAATTAGCTTCAGCTGTGGAATTTTTTTCCCTCCCTTGAGGAAGGAGTTACACTTAAAGTCTTGAAACAGATTTTGAATGGTGACTTCAAATGCTGAATTAAAGGGTATTTGGAAATTGTGTTTTCTTAGTTTGCTAAAATAGATATAGCCACTGTACAGAGCACCCGAGATGGATGGCAGATTGAACCGTGTATATTTTCCATTTTAGTTTCCTGATGAAGATGAGGAAACAAGGTTATATCGCTTAAAGATAGAAGAACAGAAACGCCTAAGAGAAGAAATCCTTAAACAGAAGGAGTTACGGCGGCAGCAGCAGGCTGGTGCCCGGAAGAAGGAGTTACTAGAGAGACTGGCACAGCAGCAGCAGCAGCAGCAACAGCCGCCACCGCCCTATGCCCCACCATCCCTGGCAGAGCAGGAGGAGCCGGCATCTTCACCCTCTCCCACCAATGGTAACCCACTGCTGCCCTTTCCGGGTGCTCAGGTCAGACAGAACGTGAAGAACAGACTTCTTGTTAAAAACCAAGATGTCACTGTTTCAAATGTGCAGCCCAAAACATCGAACTTGATAGCACCTGGTGCCACCATGCCATATCAAGGGCAGCAGGTGAGACCACTGAGACACCTGAGACAGGCCAGAGCAGCCCTTCCGAGCCAGACACAGCCCCTGCACAGAGCACCCCAGATGACACCTGCAGAAGCAGAGGAGGCTGCCCGGGGGGCGTCCAGTCAGGGCCGGCCCCAGGACACGAAGCCTGGTGGGAAAAGGACTGTGACACACAGGACAAACAGCGGTGGTGGAGATGGGCCCCACATCAGCTCCAAGGTCAGGGTGATTAAGCTGTCAGGCGGGGTAAGTTGGCAAGGTTTATGAGTACCTCTTTGAGTCTGTCTTAATGTCCTAATCTCCAGAGAACCCTTCTGAAGAAAGAATTAAAAACATGTGGAACAATCTCTATCTATTTGAAGTTGGTATAAGAATTACTATTTAAATACTACAGTAATGCATCACTTAACTACCAGGCTGTGCTCTGAGAAATGTGTCCTTAGGCAGTTTCTTTGTTGATAGGATGGATGTCCTAGAGTTTGCTCACACAAACCCAGGTGGTATAGCCTGCTGTACACCTGTGCCATGTGGCTGGGGCCTCCTGTTCTCAGGCTGCAAACCTGTGCAGAGTGTTACTGCAGTGAATACTGCAGGCACTTGGAACGCAGTGGCATAAACATGTATAAACAAAAGGGACAGTAAAACTATAGTAGTGCAGTTTTAGGGGCCACGTCCACAGTGACCACAGTGTGACTCTTGGCACTGACTTCATTTCTAGCTGGCCTGTGTTGAGTCAGTTGAGTCTTGATGAAAGGCCGATGTGACGATCCCTAAGTTAGGCATTTCTCATGTTTAGCTTCTCTTATTAGTTTGTGATAGAACCATCAAATTTGTTTTAAAAATTAAATTTCCTTTACACAAGACATAATTTGTAGCATTAGAGTTGATGAGCTGCTGTGGGTGGAGTGAGGACTGTGGCGTGTGTGTGTGTGTGTGTGCGCCTTTAAGCAGTGTTGTTCCAGACCACTGCCTGTTTTCTGTTTTCAGGATAGTTTCCCTGGTTTAAAAAAAAAAAAAAAAAGGAATAATAGAATTCTAAACTGAAATCATGATGGTACCACATGCTTTCACTTGGAACCTACTTTAATTCTTTTACCGACTTTTGATTGGTGCCCATTTCAGATCATTTTCAGTGAGGCACAGGAATGGCAGTTTTGTACTCTAGACAAATTCAATGCTCTCAAATAAGAAGAGTTCCCATAGGTAGATTCTGGAGATTGCCCCGTAAATAAGTGATCTATAGAATACTTACTGCCGTATTCTACCATGTGGTTTCAATTAGTTATAGTTAGGTAATTCTCATCTCTTGCTTTAATTACAATGAACCTTATAACAAATGCTGTGGTCTGTGTAACTGTAACAATGCTAATGGTTGTATACAATTCACACTAACGCTATAAATTGAGGAGAAAGGAGGAAAGCTGTAAACACAGGCTTTTTGGATCTACCAAGTATCAGTGATCACTGAAAAAAAATATTTTTATATCAAACCTAATTCCAAAATCATGCTAATTTTAAAATATAATAAATAGAAAAAACAAAGGAATTTTCTATGAAAATCGCTTATTTGTAATAGTTAGCTCTTTTATCTATTACTTTTTTCCCCATTAGGGTTATTTCTTTTTTTTTTTTTTTTGAGACAGAGCCTCAAGCTGTCCCCCTGGGTAGAGTGCCGTGGCATTACAGCTCACAGCAACCCCCAACTCCTGGGCTCAAGCGAGTCTCCTGCCTCTGCCTCCCAAGTAGCTGGGACCACAGGCGCCCGCCACAGCGCCCGGCTATTTTTTTTTTGGTTGCAGCCATCACTGTTGTTTGGCGGGTCCAGGCTGGGGATTCGAACCCGCCACCTTAGGTGTACGTGGCTGGCGCCTTAGCCGGTTGAGCTATAGGCGCTGAGCCAGGGGTTATTTCTTAATTAGGGATAATATTTTACTGTTTCTTGTAAGCATATAGCAGTCAAGATTGATTTAGAAAATTTTTACTGGGGGTGTCTAGAATAAGAATGTTGATTAGGTTGCGTTTTACCTGCTAAACTCTGCTGGATCAGCAGTGACTGACAGAGGGTGTATGAGAAAGCCCTGTGACTGGTGAGTGGACACTGGCCTGGGTGGCCGGGCTTCCATCATCCCCCTTCTAGAACTTGAGTGTCGTGGCCTTGTGCATGGCTGTAGAGTCACCACATAGCTGTTGACCTAGGGAAGTGAAGGAGTGTGTGTCTTGGTTAAGAATAGCTCTAACTTGCTGTGTGCTGTGAATACAACCTTGAGCATTTCTGTGTGAATCAAACAAAATCAGATTTTATATTTAAAACATTGAGAGGAAGATATTAGGGGAATTTGAAATTGAAAGAGGTTGTAAGGTTTAATCAATCCCTATTTTTTCCCATTCATAATTTTATTGTCTGGATTTGTTGGTGAGATTACAAAGAGAACAAATTAATACTATTTATAAACAGTGTTAGATATCAGCAGATACTGCTTCTAAAATGTGCCTCCCTGAAAATTAGTTATGCGAGTGGTCTATTTTTAAAGAATTGTATTTGATAGAATGGCTCTTTTTATTACTTAGAATATAGAAAAATTCATTATTTGCTCATTTCTTAGAAAACTATTTTTAAGTATTTAACTTTAACGAACTAACCAGTCAACCTTGTTAAATGATAATTTTGCTCATTACCAAAACATCCAAAAAACTATTCAAGTAGTAATAGAGCAGATGTAAAAATCGAGCAAGTTTACCAGCCACCTAAAGCCGTTCTTTGTGATGAAACACAGGAATAAGGAAGTGAGGCAGCATGTGCTGGTTTAGGGGAGATGTCATCAGGTTTGAAGTGTTTGCTTCCTGGTTTTCATTGCCCATCTTTGTAACTGTGGTTACCTGGCTTGAATGAATCCCAGTTTCTTCATCGGTAAAATGAGGATCAGCTCTTCACCCAGGAGGAGTGTTGTAAGGATCAAGTATCACCCCCGCCATCTCACCACCCCACCCCACCCCACCCCCAGAAGTGAGCATCCCGTGCCTCAGCAGATGCAGCCAGCTCAGTGAATTGTCCTTTTAGTTTAAGGAAGAAAAATATGGAGGCGGGGGTTTGGAGTGGCTGCTTGTAGTATTCTTTAAGAAAGTGAAAGCAAACTGAATTTAGCTCTTTTAATCAAGGCAATGAAAATTTTGAGGGTTTGTCAGCAAATTAAGTACACTTTTATTTTGTAGGCCACACAGAAATAGGAGAAGCACAGAATGCCCCAGAAGGAAAGCCAGCTGTCCCATCATGATACTCTTCGGTTTTTAAAAGGCTGTCAAAATGCTGCATGTAGAAGGGCTCAATTTGTTTTATGTGATCTTGCTTTTGGGCATTGGACTACATGTGTAAGCTTCCCTTCCTAGCTGCTCAAAAGTTATTCTCACGTTTTTTTTAGAGAAGTGCTATGTAGTATATACCTGATCTCTTGTGGGGCGAGGAGTCAGCGGCTGCACTTTGATTTTAAGAGCAGTTATAAGAGTACTATAGGAACTCCACACACCCTGGTCAGAGTCACCATTTGCTTAGACCCTTCAGTTTGTCCCTCATCCTCTCTTTTTGTCCTTTTATACATATAAAAACTTAACTCTTTTACCCCAAACCATTTGAGAGTAGATTAGAGGCACAGAGATATTCTTTTGTTGTTGTTGTTGTTGTTGTTGTTGTTGTTGTTTTTTAGAGACAGAGTCTCTCACTTTGTTGCCTTTGGTAGAGTGCTATGGTGTCACAGCTCACAGCAACCTCCAACTCCTGGGCTTAGGTGGTTCTCTTGCCTCAGCCTCCCAAGTAGCTGGGACTATAGGCATCCGCCACAACGCCTGGCTATTTTTTCGTTGCAGTTTGGCTGGGGCCCGGTTTGAACTCACCACCCTTGGTATATGGGGCCAGTGCCCTACTCACTGAGCCATAGGCGCCGCCCCAGAGATATTCTTGTACAAAACCACAGTTGTACATTACCAAAATCAAGAAGTTGAACATGGATGCAGTGCCATCGTCTGACCACAACAGGTGTTCAGATTTTATCAGTCCTCTGACCCACGCGCCTGGCAGGTCTGTGTTGTATGTCAGTTCCTTTTCTGCTGCACTTGGCCTTCTGTGCTTCTTGGCCCTGAACTAGAAAGAGCCAAACCCAGTTGTTCTGTGGGGCATCCTTCAGTTTGGGTTTGTGTTGTGCTCTGTCTGATCAGTTTAGGTTTGTGGGGTTTTGGGAGGAGCACCAGGAGGGACGTTGTGTCTATCTCAGTGCATCCGCTGAGTGTCCAGTCTGCAAAATTAGCTTTGATCATTGGGGTACAATGGTGCTTGCCAAATCTCTCCACTGTAGAGATGTAATTTACCCTTTATAACTAATAAGTGATTTATGGGAAGTTACTTAGAGACTTTGTGTTTCATTTCTTATCAAAAGTTTACTATTTTTAGTGAATACTGATGATTTTCTAATGCCTGTGCCCCTTCTGTATTTATTAGCTGTCATGTTCCTACTCTGATAATTTTCTCCATCATGTATTCTTTCATTTATTTACATCAATCTTGGGTTATTAATCCTTGTTTTATTCAGTGAACTGTCACTGTTACTGTTTGTTTTTTTTTTTTTTGAGACAGAGCCTCAAGCTTTCCCCCTGGGTAGAGTGCCGTGGCATTACAGCTCACAGCAACCTCCAACTCCTGGGCTCAAGCGAGTCTCTTGCCTCCGCCTCCCAAGTAGCTGGGACCACAGGCGCCCGCCACAACGCCCGGCTATTTTTTGGTTGCAGCCGTCATTGTTGTTTGGCGGGTCCGGGCTGGGGATTCGAACCCGCCACCTTAGGTGCACGTGGCTGGCGCCTTAGCCGGTTGAGCCATAGGCGCCGAGCCCACTGTTACTGTTTATTTTGATTTTAGAATTATCCCAGATGGGCCAGTCAGAGTCCCTTAAAGCTGGATTCTGTCTTTTGGTATGTTCTCCTCAATCCTTGAACATGTCCTTTGTCTGGCTTGAGAACATAGATGTTCAGGCTCATCGTGTCTTGTCCCTGCCTCACCTCTGGATCAGCCCTGTCTAGGAAGCTCCAGGACCTCAGTGTGGAGGGAGGGGTGCCAGGCATTGCCCCTGCTACTGCTGTCATGGCTTCTGGGCTCTCTCAGCACGTCTGAGCCTTCTGCAGTGAGTTGGAAACAAAGAAAAAGGAATCCTAAAGAGACTGCTTGAATTGGTTGTATTTTGTTGTGTACTACATATTACATATTT